GCTTCAGATCCTCAAAAAGAGAAAAAAAAGACTCTTGGCACCTTTTTCTAAAGACAGATATTGATTGAGAACGTCGTGGGCGCCCAGCGCTTCGTCTGGTGGTCTGGGTTTGTTTCAGTTCGGTGCTACTGTTTGACAAAAACATAAAAAGCAATGCAAACCTGAGCGGAGGCATTAGGCAGTAACTGCTGACTGGGTTTTGACCTGTGGGCACATATTGTTGTAATAGGCAGTTTTGCATAATGACGCCTTTCTGAAGTGCCTGGAGCTTGAAGCCACAGGGACCTGTGTTATTATGCCTGATCTTATACCCTATTACGAACGTAACCCATGACTACTGCTCCAAGCTTGTCCTCGCTTGACTTTACTTTAAGAAAAACAAAAAAACTACAGGCTTCTGTGGAATCGTTTCACATTCTCAGCCAAAAAAATTCTACCAAAATCTCCTTTCAGAATTAACGTGGAAAACAGTAGCTGGAACCGGTTTCTGTGAACTTCATCTCTGGGAAATATAAGTTTAGAAGCGGCTGTTAGCGATTTAATCCTTTGTTTTTCAACCTTGACAAGCTCCCGACTTGGTTGCGTTCCAAAGCTGCTGCTCTATAACATTGCTCGCCTCCTATGGAAACTCCATTTCCTGGAGAGGAGCAGTTAAAACTCTTAAACTCTTCACCTCCCTGAGGTCTCGCTCACAGTCAGTTTGAAAGCTGTGGATACGAAGGTTCAGGGCAGTTTAGTGTCGTCCCTGTTTTAGTTTCTATATCCTTTTTTTTTTTTACATTCTGGGAAATGTGGAGCTCGTGTAAATGCAGAGCTGTGGTGTAAACGGAGGATTCCTGTTGTCGAGGCTGGAAAGCTTCTGCTGCTGGTGAACAGAGCTGATGGTCTGTGGCTCAGAGAGAAACGAAGCAGGAGGCTGTGATGTCACCGAAGCTTCTTAAACGCCGCCTGAGAAACCTGGTTTGGTTTTATTTTACGGCCATAGAAATGAGACATGATGTAGGACGAGTCCAACACTGGGGGCGGCAGAAGACGACTCTCTCCTGTTTGGTTTAAGGTGCTCTCTGCTCTTCCCGCTGCTGAGACGTGCATTCCTCCCTCCCTCCTACTTTTCTTTCAAGGCTTGGGAAGCTGGCGACGCTGCCAGCGGAGTCACAGGATCTCCTGCTGGCAGCTGCCTCCCTCACATGCAGCAGACGAGGAAGAACCATTGTACACATCGCTCAAGTTTCAAATGTTGTGCGACCCATGTGTCAACGTCGTAGGAGGTGGAGGTCTCTGGGTTTGAGAGAGATTCCTCTTTGAATGCTTAAGTGTGTCCTGATGTTTTCCTTCCTCGGTGTTATGTAACACCAAGCACCATCTGCTGTGTACATTGATCTATATGCCAAAAACTGAACTGGAGAGAAAACTGTTGAAACACAGTGAATTCCTCCCACAGATTCTAACAACAAGCAAGACACTGTGCCACAACCAGGGAGATCGTATCGAGGCTTTAAGTGATGCCGCAGCATTTTGCCCTCTTTCCTCTTTATATCGCTCTTTGTCCCTTTAACTGTGAGGCTGTAACGGGGAGGGGCCAGTATTTGGCGAGGCCACTTGTCTCTGCTCACATTCCTGACACAGTTTCCCAGAAAGCTCATGTTTATGTATACCTGGAAGCAGGAGGCAGATATTTCGAGGGGAGGAAACTGAAGTGACCCAAAGATGGACGTCTGCGGCTCGGCCTCGTTTTCATGACGGGATGAGCTTCAGCCGGGTCGACCCAGGAACAGCTGAGAGAACACAGAAGTGATGCTCTCGGCTTATTCAGCTAACGCTGACCTAATATGGACAATGACTCTGCAAAAAAAAACTAAACACAAGACGATCTTTGTCTGAGTTACTTCCTCGTTGGGTGTCACCGTCCGGGGGAGACGGGGGAGAAGCAAACAGTCCTGAAAGTCCTGATGTGGTCTTTGTCTTTTTCTTAGAGGGAGAAGGTTCGATCCCCCTCAGCTGCTGGAGGAGGAGGAGGAGGAGGAGGAAGGGGGTGTAAAGTGTTAAACAAAACTGCAGATAAACATCTACTGCGATTGATGCCAGTGTGCAAATATCCACTGGACACACGACAGAAGCATCTCACTCGCTCACTTTAACCATTAACTTCTTACTCTGTCTGTGAAGAGTGAATGTCTCTCAATACTTGAATTGACGTAAATGTGACATTTAAGGAGAATCAGCTAAGGCCCGACAGCTCCTCAAATTAAATCCAGCTGCAACAAATTTCACACACTCATAAATGTTGTTCCCCTAAACGTGCATTTCATCAAGATCCACAAATTATTCCCAGAGAAATCAATGAAAATGTTAAACAACTTCACAGTGTTTCTGTTTCTTTAGGACGTTCAGATAAAAAATTAAATCTGTAAGTGGCGATGATTGACCCCGTGTGTGTGCGTCTGCCAATCAAGATATAAAACTGTCCAGTGGGCGGCACCGTGACTGTGACCGAATACTGTCGTGTAGACATCTTAACGTAAACTTTAAATCTCCATAAATGACCTGTTGGGTTTTGGCGACAAAAGTCTTAATCGTACGTTTGTTTAAGATCCGCGTTCCTACTAATATCCAACACAAGTTTTTCACCACAGCTGACGCACTGTGCCACGTTTTGAGAGTTTACGAGTAAAGAATCATTCTTTGGGTCCGAGCGTGCGTCCTGAAAATGAAAAGACAATGATCTGCGTTAAATTAGCTAACACGTGAAAACAGATTATATGTATGTAGAATGTGACTCTAGTGCCTCCAGTGGTTATTTGAACAACTACAAATGACAGCGGCGGAGTATCTCATTTGAAACCTCCAACTTTTCTGACATTTTATACTAAACGATGATGAATACGTTGGTGAATTGATAATTATTTGCTGTATGTGAGCGTAGACGCATGTAAACCTAGTGTCAGACTGACGGAAACTCGTTTCCTCCCTCCGTCACAACCTCTCCTGTGACCGCAGCAGATTTTTTGGACTGGGGCGCTGAGGCTTTGTGGGACTTGGCGGGTTTGAATGGACCCATCAGTAAACCAACACTGGTGGGATGCTGCTGACCTCCGGGTGCCCGTCCTCACTCTGCTCCAGCGCTCGCATTGTAGGAGACACTCAGGCTTCTCCGGTTTCAAAGGCGACTGGTCTCCGGGGCAGAGGAGGCCAGGGGAAATGGCACTTAGCCGGGGCCTCGGAGACGTTTATCCAAAACCTTTTAATCCCCTCCAGCACCTCCGCCGCCGCCTGTCCAGCTCTTGACAGCTGCCGAGGATGACTTCAGCCGAGTCCACCTGCGTCTTGAGTCTCCGGGTTCTTGTCGATGACCTGGAAACCCAGACGGGGTGAAGAAGTTTGAACTCCACATTTCTTGTTAGTGAAGGACCTCAGGCGTCTTATCATCACGTTCGATTCTCTGAGCTCAGCGTCTGTTTTTAATGAATCTCTGACGATCTTTCAAAAACCCAGAAGTGCTGAGATTAACTCATGCTCATTCATCAACGCAAATATATTGTGGATGAAGTTTTGTGCGTAGTCTTTCCTCATTTTCTTCTGTTTTGAAACATCACCAGAGATCGCACACGTTGGGCTCTCTTGTGTCGTGATGATGACGCTTTAACCAAAACCGAGTCAGTCGTTTCTGTCGAGCTCGATGATTCGAAGGTCGGGATGTTGAGCAGGAAAGGGATGAAATTTGAAGACCACGTTTCAGGAAATAAAACTTTGGCATCAAGAAATTAAAAAACCACGTCCCTGCTGGTTCTTTAACGCTGCTGAACGACGGGAGGCAAAGAAAAACCAAGAGTCGAGCAAACATTCCACGACGCCATGTCATATACTGTACAGCAACCTTTACTTCTGTCCTCCCTCTGTCAGTAATCACAGTACTACAGTAAATACTTTGGACCTGTTAACACATTAACACATCTTTATGTACAACTCCTTCGTCAGTAAGTTACCTTTAAGAAACTAGTCAAAAAAAAACAACAAAACAAAAAAAATACAAGAAGTGCCGTACAAATAGAAGCCTAATATTTTTTGTTTTGGTTTTGTGTGAGTGTACTGTACACCTGTATAATGTATATTTTAATATTTATATGCAGCTGTTGTATTAAAGTATATTTTTAAGATAAGAAAATGGTGCCGTGCTTCTTTTCACTGCCACATTTTCAAGTTAAAGCTGATAATTGCTCGTTATCACAATTCTCCAGGAAACAGTGTGTCAGGTGTGAAGTGAAGCTGCAGTGAGATCAATTTAAGGTGTTTTTGTCTTTTTGTGTTTTGTCTTCACTTCCTCCTGCAGCAGCCTGGGGCTGCAGGTCATACTGGCTGCACAGCCCCACCAGCAGGTCACAGTGTGTCACTGCATCCTTTATGGAAGTGGATTTTACATAACTTCATGGTGAAGGAACAAAGGCGATGACGGCTCTTTGTTCTGTGGCTGATTGTTTTACTCGAAGGATCCAGATCAGACCTGATCAGGTGCATCTCTCACATCTCACATCTTGAAGCTGCCTCCCAGGCTGCGCTCAGAACACAACGTCGGATTTTCAGTTGCATCCTTGCACCTGAATTTGTGTCCCTGTTTCTCTGGGTGAGTTCAGAGGGACATTTCCTCAAAACCTGCGTAAACAAAAACAAAACTAGAAGCTTAACTCAATCATTAGATGCCACAAAAGGTCAAATGAGAAAATGTGTCTCTTTAGCTGGAAGGTTCAAAATTAATTTGCCAATACAAGAGTAAATCTGATCTGAGGTGTTTTGTAGGTTTGATGTTCAAAAAGAATAAAAAAAAAGAGATTCGAAGGACGAGTTTGAGATGAAGCTGGAAAAAAATGAAAATATATTTTTTAAATGTTAAATTGTAATCATCTGTTTTTTAAAATAATGTTTTACAACGTTGTTAAAGTATGAATGATTTCTTAGAAAACGTTGGCAGGTTTAAATGTAGTGGAGAAAAAATGAATGAGTCAACATTTATTACAAAAAGTTTTTTCTTTATTGGGATGGAATTGATTCTATTCACATTGATGTTAAAGATACCTGGATTAAAACCATCAGAGTGGAGGGTTCCCTTCAATAATTCATTAGTTCAACATTGCACGACGCCCAGCTCTGGAAAAAACACCCGACGAGTTCATAAAGCTGCAGAAATCCCACAATCCACCTCAGGACAAAACCAGGAAGAGAGCGTGAGGTTTGTGATTGAGAGGTAAAGGAGGACGTCTCTGTCGGAGCTCAGATTTCACGTCTGCTGCGTCAGAGTCAAACTACTGAGGTACAGATGAAGAGGGTGAAAACTCCAGCTGACGGTTTGACGACGTCACGTCAGAATCCATCAGAGTGAGAACGAGAAGAAAAGAACAAGTGGAATCACATTAGATTTTTTTTTTTTTTTTTACAAAGCTGTTGTATTTGCAGCTTCTTTGTTAAAGGAAACACGTTCTGTTCACATTCAGGACTCTGAACAAAGATGGGCGACATGACCCAAAAGTGAAGCCAAAGCGTCGTGATTGCCCCCTGGTGGCTGGCTGCAGTATGGGACATGAAAGTTGACTTTATTTTGTAATTTCAGGTGTTTTTGGCATCATCTCTGGAGAGCGGGAGGAAGCGGAGACTCTTCAACCACCTTTAATTACAGTTCATGGACGTAGCAGCTACATTATTCGCTGCACTACTGACGAGGTGTTTCTTTGTTTTCTGTGCAGGAGAGCAGCTCCCTTCACTACAGAACAGAAAAACCTTTAAACCACAAGAGGAAAGAAACACTGAACAAACACATGTCTCCTTTAACAACAAACGTACACAACAGCACAGGTTACAACGCATGATTTAACAAAGGAATCAGCATCTTAATCGTCAACACACCTCTGAAGAAAATCCATAGGAATTAATTACATATCACATCATCTTTTGGACATTAACATAAAAACCTCTCCCACTGTGGGATCAACACGTCATTTAACTTCTCAGGAAGTTTCAACAGTTAATAATCAGACACACATTTGCATCGTCATGGTTGTTGCTCCGCTGTTCGAGTCGTCAGGACATAACATGACTCACTGAAAAAAAAAAATATATTGACAGCCATGAAATACAGTAAAAATTTTAAATGAGAAAAACAGACCCTTATTGTCACAATAAGGCTTTTCATCCTTTTGTTTAACATCGGATGAGACCAGATTCTTCCCTTTAGTGCAATTCTTGCATTTTGGAATCAGGCAGTTTAAAATCAGGCCTCTGGGGTCTTTGTCTGTTTTCAGCAGCTTCATCCAGACGCCGAGCAGATCTCTCAGCTTGTCGCAGATAGAACGCCTCTTGGCTTTGTGCTGATAAAGATCTGGACCGGGGGGGGGGTGTCCTGGCAGGACAACAGTGGCATTCAAGTATCAAAGCACAATCTGAGGCTGAAGCTCTGTGGTCGACGTCATTGTCATCAGTCTGGGGGACTGCTCTCGGGGAAATATTTCCATCGGGGACGGACAGAGATGAAGATGACAGAGACGTTAACTCGCTGTGACATCACCTCACTGAAGATCAACGCTTAAAATCAGTTGTGAGGCTGTTGATGCTTCAGCTGCTTGATGATGGTTGAGAAATATTATTTGTCGCTGCGGTTTCACCGAGTGGGAAAAAAAACCTGTTCTCCGCTGAGTGACGGCTTCATCGTCTTTGCTTCCTTTGTTTGCTGGAGAGGAATGATTTTTAATCAGGGAAGGAAATGATGTGGGACAGATCTGGTCATGAGATGTCACTTGGATTCCTGTTAAATCAAATATATTCTCATGCGTCATCAGGTAATTTTTCCTGAACGGATGTTGAACGATCAATAATCCAACATTCTTACATCAGATCTCTTCCAGGGGTTTTCACTGTCTGTGTTTTCTCTCTCAGCAGTAAAGAGCACAACACTAAAATCCAGGTTGGCTGGCGGCCCGCAGTGAAACTAGAAACTGGATCTGAGAGGGAACGGTTAGCGATTGATCCTGTAATGCAGAGGTGTTTCTTTTCATGTGAAATATTCTTGAAGAGAAAGAGGGAACATCTTTCCCGCCTGAGATGAGCTCTGTGCTCGAAGCTGCACGATCAAAGAATAAAGAGGAGTTTGAAGTCCAGGCTCATTAAAGGGTCTCTGCTCTGTGTTGTTTCTCCATGAAATGAAATCCTGCCTCTTCACGTACGCCCCAGGCTGCTGAGTAATCATCAGGATCCTTATTATCATCCTCACATTCTTTACTGCTGGATTTGCGGTCACGCTGGTCATCCACGTGGAACCTCCTGTTACGTCTTCCTCAGGGGAGGAGGGCGTCTCCCTCCTCGACCCAGAGCAGGTTCAGGGCCTCAGTCTGCCGCTGCTCCCGCTGGTGGATCCTTCGCAGGCGCAGGATGTAGAGCAGGATGGCGAGCACCACGACCAGGATGCAGAGCGAGAACAGGTGGTGGTTGTGGACGAAGGAGAAGCGCAGCCAGCTGGGGTGGCTCTGTCGCAGCGTTTCCTGCTGCAGGTCCCTGGAGGAGAGAGAGAGAGACGTGAAGACACGAGTCTCATGGAACAAACTTCTTATCTTCACTGATGAACAAAGCAACAATAAGAGAATTCTCTATATGTAACATAAAAAACTAACTCATATGTAGGGACACTTAAAAAACAAGTCCTGTGAGAAAGGCCATATCCTGGTTTGTAGAAATCTCTCACACGGGAGCAGTCGACCTTGAACAATGTGATAAATCTAATCTGAACTATCTTTCCACCCAAGGGCGAGGCTACGTGGTTTACTCAGCTGTGACTGCAGGAATACATGAGAGCGTAAATGAAGATGGACGACATGTCTCCACTTCCTCTCACTCTCCAGAAAAGAAGCAAAAAATATTCCAGATACAAACGCTGCCATCGAGAGCCGATGATGTCATTATTAGTCTGTGAAATAGCGATCGGGGGGGTGGAGCTGCGGCAGCGAGGTCGCATCAAAACGCTCGATGTTCAACACCTGAATTAAAATCTTAGTGACTAACCAGACAGTCATCGATGACAACATTTAAAGGTTTTAACTTTCTTGAGAAATATATAAGCAAAACTTGGAGTTACCTGAGAGGCAGGAAACGTGTTTTATACAGAATGGCTCCCAGCGTCCACTGAACCTCTTTGTCATAAACCAGCTGAGCCGTTTTCAGACTCGGGTAGTCAGCGGGGAAACGGAAGCCAGAGTGCAACACCTCGTACATCCAGGCCGATTTGAAGCACTGAAACCTGGGTGAGAAAGAACAGCTTGATGGGTTAAAGAGCAACGAATGGACAGGTTTTCACTCCGCAGAGTGGATAACAGTCTGAACTGCGCCACCTACAGGAAAGAAGAAGCAGCAGTGTTGAACTGCAGACTGAGGATCTTGGATCTCAGTGTTTTTTTTCTTTCTTGCAGTTAATCGTCACCCAGCACCTTCAGGGATTCACATGTTCACCTTGTTGAAATCCTTCATCCCTGCTCAATGGCTCTGACCATTTCTCCAGAAGAACAACAGCTGGGTTCAAAGTTGTGATGTGAGACTAGTTGTTAAATCTCTGAATCACGTCTGGTTTAAAAGTTGCAGTTTGGTTGATTTGGGGACAAAACTAGTTCGGCTCCGTTTGGGAAAGGATCATGTTTGAGTTGGAAACAGATACTTTCATAACGTTCACCCCCTGCAAAGGCACAGCGCCTCCATGTGGAGAATCTGAAGCTCTGCTACATGCATCTGTAACACACCTCCCATTGTGTATATTACACAAGAAGACTTTGACATAAAGAACCAATTCTAAGTAAGGATCTACACCACTGTCTGTAATTAGATTTCAGTTTTCTCTCCATCTATCAGCGAACAGACTTGAACTGTTCCAAACAGAAGTGATCTGTTCTCAGACTCTGATGACCACAGTGTGGTGGCTGGAGAGAGACAGAAACCCACAGGACACAGAGCAGGTTGTGTGTCATCGTTATGTGACTCTGACAAAAAGATGAACCTACTTGAGTCGGCTGACGTCGGCCTGCTGAGCGAAAAGCTGGTTGTCCAGACGCAGTTTCAGCGTCGACCACTTGGTTGAGCAGTAGTCCTGGAACACAAACATTCCATCACCGAACAAAAATTAGTTCAAGTCACATTTCTTCGTCTTCTGACTTCTCTGTATCTGTGTGTAACAGTGATGTGTTTGTGTTACCGTAGCAGCTCGGGAATATTTCTCGCTGTCGTACTGTCCTCCAATCCTCAGCACGTCCTCCATGCAGTAATAAAACTCTGAGAAGCCGTAGAACTCGCTGTTGCTGAAGTTGATGGGAGCCTGAAACAGAATTCCTTGTATTTTAAAAGCTTCCTGCTGAATATTGGAGATAAACTCTGGTTTTCAAAGTTTTAAAGTTGCATAGTGTTGCTTCAAACTGTTGCAGAAGCAATGCTAACTAGCTTGGTGATGATGGAAGAGCTCAGGGCTGTAAGGGACTTGTACCTGATATACACCCCCTGGGGACATGGTGCCATTGTGGAGGCCCAGGAAGGGCTGCACAGAATGCTGACATTGAGCCCAGTTTCCCTGACCCCTCAAGTACAAGGTGCGGTTGTCCCTGACAACTGTGTCTGACAGGCCGGCCGGCAGACACGGATCCAGGTACGGTTTGTCCTCAGTCAGGCCTGTCTGAGTGGTTAGAAACCTGGACGAACGGGAACACGAGAAACATTGTTCAGATGTTGGATAGTGAAATAAACCTGAAGTTACTGTTACTCTCTGGCTTGATTGTAGATTATTAGAGATAATCACAGAGCTTGAATTTAAAAACTACACATTTCATCAGATGGAACATTTTAACAAGAATGAATTACCATATTCGTGTGGAGATATTAGTGTAATTAACAGAAACAACAGATAGTCACGACCGACAGGCCTGAAAACACTATTTCACATCATGTACCACCCGGCTCAAGTAAATACTGAGGGAAATGTCATTTGTACAACACTAATAATAACTACTGTATGAGAAGATAAGTGAGACTACCAGTGTGTGTGAGTGTGTGTGGACCTGTTCTTGGCGAATGTCTTATTCAGCAGCTGGTCCTCGTATCGCTGCCTGGCCATGTTTCCTCCGAAGCCGAGGAACGTGGTGACATAGACTCGGTACACGTGTTGCGTGTGCTCGACATCGCAGCCCAGATTAAACTCTGCAAGAACACTCTTCCCTGCCTCCTCCTGAAAAACACACGACACACACAAGACTGTGTCAACATCCGTCCTGGCGGCTCCGAGGTCGTCCCTTCTCTATATTTAAATAATCACACTCGTCATTTCTGCAAAGACCAATTTATGTTGTGTGTTTTCTTATGACGACAGAAGGTTGACAATGAAATAAGATTTTCCCATTTGTCGGAAAAGAGAAATCAACACGTGGTGGTCAGTGTGAATCAAGAGCCGACCACTTGTGATCTGATCACATGAGACGTAGAACAGGGTCTAGATTTAAAGGGTCTAGTTATTGACAAAACATCTGATACTTTGAGCTCTGATACTTTGAGCTCTGAGTAATGTGATGTTTTATAGATGAAATGATCAAATCAAGAAAATGATGATCAGCTTCATCAGAAGTTCAAATGAACATTATTTTCAGCCCTCACCAGTAACAGCTGTGTCACTGCACCTCTTTACCTCTTGTGGTGAGTTGAAGGTGATGACACTGGGGACCTCATAGGCAATCTGCAGAGAAGCTCCACCCATGTCCATGATTCCCACTGTACGCCGCCTGCTGATTGGCTGCTGGTTCTGGGACCCAGTTGTCACCTCGACTGTGGCGTCTTCTGAGAAAATTAAACATTTTGCAATGTTATGATTTGATTGTTGGTCACATGTTGGGAATTATTAACGCTAAATAGACACATATTAATCTTTTAATATACACTTATTATGAATGATAACATCTGAAGAGAGTGGCTCATAAAACCCAAACAAAACATTAAATGAACAAATGTGGCAGCAGCTGATCTTTCTCAGGTTTTTCCTGTCAATAGTTACGCCTCCACACTCACCCTGGTCAGCGTGATCAAAGCGGCCCAACACAAAGTTAATGCCAATCCAGGCATACACTCCTTTAGGGGGGGGGGGGCAAGAACAAGAACATGTTATCACAGCCATGATGGAAATGCACAAAAAAACAGGAAGGACAATAATTAATCAACAACTAAAACCAGTATCAGTGAATAATAACAACACCAAAGTCAAAATAAGTGAAATAAAAACGTCCTCTCACCTTCCTGTTTCCCTGAGATGACCTCAGCATGCGAGCTGGAGAAAAGGAAATCAAACTCCAGGGGAACATCGGTGACCAGGTCCTCCAAGATGGCCGCCTGTTGGCTACATGAACAGACGTGAAGCATTAATGCAACATTCACACAAGCTGAGGAAACGAGTCTGATAATGAAGCCATTCACACCAAATCTAAAAAAATGAAGCTTACTGTTTGTTGCATGCAAGTGTGTCTTGTAGAGCGGGTGACTTTACCTCTCTGGCAGCAGCCTCATGCCAGCAGTGCAGAGGATGTAGAGCGGCGTCTCCTTGTGTTTGTTCTTCGGGACGTGAGCGGCGGCGAAGCTGAGGAGAGGCTGCAGGTAGTTACTGGCCTGCGTCGGTGTCTTTGCCAGAGTGGAGATGCCTGTGAAGACAGCGAGTAAGTTCATGTTTCAAATTTGTTTTCAAAAAGATAAGCAACATTATCTTTCACGTCAACCGTGTGTTTAACAACTGATTCTCCAGTTCTGGTTCTGCACATTGACTTGAGCTTCACTGAACTTTGAATAAACAGCTCTTTGTGCAGCAGCAGGTCTTTATTTCTCTGCAGCTCAAACGAACCATTCCAAACAGGCAGGTTGAGAACAGGCACATAGTGATCATAATTTAATCTCACTCCTCAACTTTCGAGTAGCTCACAGTCTGTGAAAACACTGCAATAGAACCGGTTCTTCTATAAAGGCTGTTACAGCATGTGATAGTTCAAAATGCCACGTAACCTTTAACTGCAGCTCCTGGAACAAACTGAGTGAATCTAATCAGTCTGCTGTGACCAAGATAAGACAAAGTCACAGGGACTGAACAGTCACACAATGTGAACAGAAATACTATTCTCCAGAAACACCTCAAGATGAAATTAGCACAAAAGGAAAAAGAGAAAAAAAAAAAAGAGAAAAAGAGACAGAAGAATTAGTTAAATAAAACTGTGATCTGTGATTTTCTTTTCTTTTTCTCTACTTTGTATTTTCCACGAATGTTCTCATTTATCTCTTTCACACGCTCTGTCTTTTTAACCTTTTGGCTGCGAGCCAAAGGGACAGATAACGATAAGCAATGATCCTCATGTTAGCACCACTGTGTTCGGAGTAACTCTCAATGACACCATTGTAAAGACAAATCCTATTTATTTATAGAGCACAAATATTCAATGAAAGAAATGGTGACCCAGCTGTTTGTGAGCTGCCATTTTGACGTTTTTTGCATTTTCACTTTCCGGACTCTGAAGTCTGCGTTCACTTTTATAAACGGTCTATGCACGCTCCAAACTAAGCTCCGCCTCCTCACCAGGTTTGATCTTCTTCACCACAGGTTTGTGGTCGTGGTCCTTCATCTGTCGGATGTCCAGCAGGGTGTGGGGGTTCCCGTTGTGGGGGGGCCAGTAGTACACGAACACCCGAGAGCCGCTGCTGCCACAGTCCACCACAATCCCATAATTCAGAGCGGGGTTGAGGACGTCAGTGGCCTCCATAGACTCTGCCATAGAGAGGTACCTGGAAGAGAACAAACACACACTCAATATTTATCACTGTGCATGATGCTTGGGATAAAATCCTTTACCAAAGAGCCAGTGTAAAAATATTTAAGACTCACTTGTTGTAATGGGCACCAGGCTGTCGCTGGGGGCCCCATAGCAGCCTCTGGTTGGTCCCTAAGATGAGGAGAGTGGAGATGATGAAGAGGAGCAGCAGCAGCAGCAGCCTCTGTCTGGGAGCACAGCCCAGGGACAGCAGGGACACGCTGCAGTACCAGGAGGCCGGCAGGCAGGACAAAGTGATCCTGTGCAGGAAGAAAACAACAACAAAACCTAAATACACAAGTTACAGCACACAATACAACAAACGTCTCAGGCTCTTTGCACTTCTTTACCTTGCCATAAGTCCACGTCTGTAAAAATACAAGATGCTACAGTCGTCACCTCATGGTGTCTGCAGTCTGGTCAGGATCCTCTCTGGGGATATGACTTATCTTCTGACTGACGTGAAGAAGAGGGAGAAAAGTGTCAATACAAGTGCTCTAAAGTCCTAAACTGGACCGGTGAGCAGCGAGGACACACATTTTCTGTTGTTTGCCAACTTGATTAACTGACTCATCATTCCAGCCCTCTCTCTTTCTTTATTCTCCTAGTTGTTGTTTGATTCAAGCAGCTTTGCTGTATTGAGTCCCGGTGGCTTCAACGAATAACCTTTTGTACCCTACAAAATACCTGCGGCTCGGTGATACGGCCCAGAATGATGAGCTGAGATAAGATGAGATAAATATAATCCTGTAAATCCCACGATGGGATTAAAATATTACAGCAACGTGAGTGAAAAACAGTAAGTAATAATAGGTAACATGCAATACTAATGTGTAAGGAAATACTGAAAATCTGGAAACGTACGAATGGACTAAAAACTAATATATACAGAGTAAAAACAAGAACAATATGTGCAGTGACTGGATTACACATGAAGCATTGTATTGCACAGCTCCTCAGTGTCCTGATGCAATGAATACACATATATATATATATCACTCAGTCCTGAAACAACAAACTGTACTCTATGATAGTACTTCTACACAAGATACACGATATTTATCCAGTGATATTGTGTCAAATCCCATTAAAAGCTGCACATGTTAGCATCACATGTTCCATACAGGCCTTTATAAAGAAGCTAACTGGCTAAAGTCCTCGTTATATAAGTTACAGCTGTTTTTCGATGCAAACACCAGACAAAGAATTTATATCTTATATAACCGTTAGCTGCAACACAGGCTGCTAATATACCGGCTAGCTCCACATGCTAACACACCTCTGATGTTAACTTACCGACAGAAGCGTCTCTGCCACCGGGACAGTGAATCTCCCTCCGAGGGTTTTAACTGCTCATTCGACGATAAAGAGTTTAGTGAAATTATGAAAACTAAAATTCACCGCGAAGATTTTTCACAGACGACGAGAAGAAGAAGATAAAGAAAAAGAAAAAGAAGAAGACATGACGGAAAATAAAGCCTCCAGACTTCCGGTCGACCCGTGAACATGTCATCTGTCAGCTGGCATGCTGCGTTCACGACTATAGGAAAAAGAAGACCTAATGTGAAATGCCTGACAAAGTATATTATATATTATTTACACTACCACCAAAGCATGAAAATAGATTAGATTAGAATAGATTAGATTCAACTTTATTGTCATTGCACATGTCACAAGTACAAAGCAACGAAATGCTGTTTGCATCCAACCAGAAGTGCTTAAACAGTGAATACATATATGTTACAGTATGCTAAAGTATAT